GCACGCACACACACACACACACACAGGCACGCCACACACCACACACACACACACACACACACACACACACACACACACACCACACCCACACACACACAGGCACGCACAACCACACACAACACAGGCACGCACACCACACACACACACACACACACACACCACACACATACACACACACACACACACAGGCCACGCACACACACACACACACAGCACGCAAACACACACACACCACACACACACAACAGGCACGCACACACACACACACAACACACAGGCACGCACACACACACACACACACACACCACACACCACACACAGGCACGCACACACACACACACACACACACACAGGCACGCACACACACACACATACACACACACACACACGTTTTGTCTGGAATGATGATCCATCCAGTCATGTCATCCATGTCTGGATCCCGTAACTATCAGAGAAACGAAGGAAATGGCCTGATAATGTCAGCCTCCCAAATGGCACTCTTTCCCTAGTGCACTATTTTGGACCAGGGCACATAGGGTAGGATATGTTATTATGGTAACTAACAACATGGACATTTAGCAGACACAGATATCCAAAATGACTTATATGTATATTTTCTGGCCTCTGGATGATTCCAACTCACAGTTGCTTATTTAGCATTTGCACTAGTGTGTATGTGTGAGAACGAGTGTGTGTGTGCCTGTGCCTGTGTGTGCCTGTGTGTGCCTGTGCCTGTGTGTGTGTGGGATGTTGGGTGTATTCACATCTATTTATAAGTCAGAGCAGTACTCTCGCTGTCTCTGCCCCGTCTAGGGCTGACATGTCGTCTCTATGAATAACAACACACTACAATGTTATTTGTGTGTGTGTGTGTGTGTGTGTGAGTGTGTGAGTGTGTGTGAGAGAGAGAGAGAGAGAGAGAGAGAGAGAGAGAGAGAGAGAGAGAGAGAGAGAGAGAGAGAGAGAGAGAGAGAGAGAGAGAGAGAGAGAGAGAGAGAGAGAGAGAGAGAGAGAGAGGAGCATGTGTGCATAGATTTAAAGATGGTGAACAGAATTTGTAAACATTTCTAAATGTATCAATCCACTTGCACATTATGGGGTATTGTGTTTAGGCCAGTGACACACAATCTCAATTTAATCCATTTTAAATTCACCATAGAGATGTAATATAACACTAGAGTGGTCATAATCCCATAGAGATGTAATATAACACTATAAACCCATAGAGATGTAATATAACACTAGAGTGGTCATAATCCCATAGAGATGTAATATAACACTAGAGTGGTCATAATCCCATAGAGATGTAATATAACACTAGAGTGGTCATAATCCCATAGAGATGTAATATAACACTAGAGTGGTCATAATCCCATAGAGATGTAATATAACACTAGAGTGGTCATAATCCCATAGAGATGTAATATAACACTATAAACCCATAGAGATGTAATATAACACTAGAGTGGTCATAAACCCATAGAGATGTAATATAACACTAGAGTGGTCATAATCCCATAGAGATGTAATATAACACTAGAGTGGTCATAATCCCATAGAGATGTAATATAACACTAGAGTGGTCATAATCCCATAGAGATGTAATATAACACTAGAGTGGTCATAATCCCATAGAGATGTAATATAACACTAGAGTGGTCATAATCCCATAGAGATGTAATATAACACTAGAGTGGTCATAATCCCATAGAGATGTAATATAACACTAGAGTGGTCATAAACCCATAGAGATGTAATATAACACTAGAGTGGTCATAAACCCATAGAGATGTAATATAACACTAGAGTGGTCATAATCCCATAGAGATGTAATATAACACTAGAGTGGTCATAATCCCATAGAGATGTAATATAACACTATAAACCCATAGAGATGTAATATAACACTAGAGTGGTCATAATCCCATAGAGATGTAATATAACACTAGAGTGGTCATAATCCCATAGAGATGTAATATAACACTAGAGTGGTCATAATCCCATAGAGATGTAATATAACACTAGAGTGGTCATAATCCCATAGAGATGTAATATAACACTAGAGTGGTCATAATCCCATAGAGATGTAATATAACACTAGAGTGGTCATAATCCCATAGAGATGTAATATAACACTAGAGTGGTCATAATCCCATAGAGATGTAATATAACACTAGAGTGGTCATAATCCCATAGAGATGTAATATAACACTAGAGTGGTCATAAACCTTGCAGGGGAATCCTTGATGCCCATGTGGTACATTCTCTCTCTCTCTCTCTCTCTCTCTCTCTCTCTCTCTCTCAATTCAATTCAATTCAATTTAAGGGCTTTATTGGCATGGGAAACGTATGTTAACATTGCCAAAGCAAGTGAAGTAGATAGTAAACAAAAGTGAAATAAACAATCAATATTAACAGTAAACATTACACTCAGAAGTTCCAAAATAATAAAGACATTTCAAATGTCAAATTATGTGTATATATATATATATATATATATATATATATATATATATATATATATATATATATATATATATATATATATAGTGTTGTAACAATGTGCAAATAGTTAAAGTACAAATGGGAAAATAAATAAACATATACTTCAGTGGGCAAATGCTCACCTTCGATGGCCACTGGCACGCTGGAGAAGTTGATGTCAACGTTGTGAACAGAGTGCCCCATGAGTGCCCCATGGTGTACAGAGTGCCCCATGGTGGCGGTGGGGTTATGGTATGGGCAGGCATAAGCTATGGACAACTAAAACAATTGCATTTTATTGATGGCAATTTGAATGCACAGATGCCTTGACGAGATCCTGAGGCCCGTTGTCGTGTCGTTCATCCGCCACCATAACCTCAGGTTTCAGCATATTAAACTAATGCACTGCCCCATGTCGCAAGGATCTGTACACAATTCCTGGAAGCTGAAAATGTCCCAGTTCTTCCATGGCCTGCATACTCACCAGACATGTCAACCATTGAGCATGTTTGGGATGCTCTGGATCGACGTGTACGACAGCGTGTTCCAGTTCCTGCCAATATCCAGCAACTTCACACAGCCATTGAAGGGGAGTGGGACAACATTCCACAGGCCACAATCAACAGCCTGATCAACTCAATGCGAAGGAGATGTGTCACGCTGCATGAGGCAAATGGTGGTCACACCAGATACTGACTGGTATTCTGATCCACGCCCATACCTTTTTTCTTTAAAGGTATCTGTGACCAACAGATGCATGTCTGTATTCCCAGCCATGTGAAATCCATAGATTAGGGCCTCATTTATTTATTTCAATTGACAGATTTCCTTATACGAACTGTAACTCAGTAAAATCTTTGAAATTGTTGCATGTTGCCTTTATATTGTTGTTAGTGTATATAACTAGACGTGGCTTATTGGAGTGAAGGCTGGTTTTGTCTATGTTTACGCAGGTGGGAAAACACCTCATTTGCAATTTGCCTTGAGAGGTTTACTGCCATTAGTTTTGATGAGATTTAACCATGTGGGCGGTTCCTGGCATTTGCATATCTAACTTCTAGAAAAGTTCTAACAATGTTTGTTGTTCTTAAAATGGTACAAGAAGGTTCTATACTAGAACACTACCTGTAGTAAACAGCTGACAATGTGTCAGTCTATACTAGAAGACTACCTGTAGTAAACAGCTGACAATGTGTCAGTCTATACTAGAAGACTACCTGTAGTAAACAGCTGACAATGTGTCAGTCTATACTAGAACACTACCTGTAGTAAACAGCTGACAATGTGTCAGTCTATACTAGAAGACTACCTGTAGTAAACAGCTGACAATGTGTCAGTCTATACTAGAACACTACCTGTAGTAAACAGCTGACAATGTGTCAGTCTATACTAGAAGACTACCTGTAGTAAACAGCTGACAATGTGTCAGTCTATACTAGAACACTACCTGTAGTAAACAGCTGACAATGTATCAGTCTATACTAGAACACTACCTGTAGTAAACAGCTGACAATGTGTCAGTCTATACTAGAACACTACCTGTAGTAAACAGCTGACAATGTGTCAGTCTATACTAGAAGACTACCTGTAGTAAACAGCTGACAATGTGTCAGTCTATACTAGAAGACTACCTGTAGTAAACAGCTGACAATGTGTCAGTCTATACTAGAACACTACCTGTAGTAAACAGCTGACAATGTGTCAGTCTATACTAGAAGACTACCTGTAGTAAACAGCTGACAATGCGTCAGTCTATACTAGAACACTACCTGTAGTAAACAGCTGACAATGTGTCAGTCTATATTGTGTGTCTGCTAATTGTCAGCTTAATATGACCCCGTACACACTCAGGTTACAACTGATGTACAAACGCATTTGACACAATTGTTGTGATACAACTGAAATGTTACACAACCATTGTGTGTAATTATTTGTGTGCAGAAATGCTCTCCGTTTTATGACAACCATTATACTAAATGCTTTGTACATCAGTTATACCCGTTATACTAAATGCTTTGTACATCAGTTGTACCCGTTATACTAAATGCTTTGTACATCAGTTGTACCCGTTATACTAAATGCTTTGTACATCAGTTGTCCCCGTTATACTAAATGCTTTGTACATCAGTTGTCCCCATTATACTAAATGCTTTGTACATCAGTTGTCCCCATTATACTAAATGCTTTGTACATCAGTTGTCCCCATTATACTAAATGCTTTGTACATCGGAGCCTAAGTGCTGGGTGCTTGTTGCACTCGTTAGTGTGCTTACTTCATCTAGAACCCTTCTGCTCTGCATACCGTATGTCTGATTAGTAGCAGGGTTTTCAATCAACCCGTGAGAAAATATAACACAACGAATACCCCAAGTACATCATCATCACAACCCTGAAAACAAAACTAAACGCAACACGAGCAATTGTCTTTTCACTGTTTATTATTAAAATAGGTTTCTGGTAGTTTTGCATAATGTGTGTGTGTGTTAAGCTGACAGAGTATGTGTGTGTGTGTCAGGTCCAAGGGGTGCAGGTGTGGAGTCCTCCTGTTGGTTAGGGGAGGGGGGGGGCGGGGGGTTAGGGCAGGGGGGTGTACGAGGTTAGGGGGCTTACAGAGTTAGTTAGTTAGTTATTGAACTGGACCCGGCGCATGGAGCCCACAGTGCTGCTCTGGGAGCCCCAGTCAGAGGCGTTGTTGTAGTCACGTTTCTCCAGGACATAGTGAGGACCTCTGTAGTTGGGCTCCTGGTACACCACCCAGCTGAAGAGACAGGCAGACAGACAGACAGACAGGCAGGCAGGCAGGCAGGCAGGCAGGCAGGCAGGCAGGCAGGCAGGCAGGCAGGCAGGCAGGCAGGCAGGCAGGCAGGCAGGCAGGCAGGCAGGCAGGCAGACAGACAGACAGACAGACAGACAGACAGGCAGGCAGGCAGGCAGGCAGGCAGGCAGGCAGGCAGGCAGGCAGGCAGGCAGGCAGGCAGGCAGGCAGGCAGGCAGGCAGACAGACAGACAGACAGACAGACAGACAGACAGACAGACAGACAGACAGACAGACAGACAGACAGACAGGCAGGCAGGGACAGGAAAAGAAACGGGGTGATTATAGACACATTACATTAGTTCCTTAACTCCTTCAACTAGAGCTTGGAGGTTTCAACTTTGGGATTATCCTATTGATTCTACTTGGCCAGGCCAACTAAATCAAACATCGCTAAAGTACAGCATTTGACGTGTATATAGCTGCGTTTACATTACTGACCCATGACGGCAGGACGGAACTGGATGTCATGGTAGAGCTAAATGTTAGCCCTTGAAGCTACGACAGCGATGGTAAAGCTAAGTCAGATGTTAACCCTTGAAACTACGACAGCGATGGTAAAGCTAAGCCAGATGTTAGCCCTTGAAACTACGACAGCGATGGTAAAGCTAAGTCAGATGTTAACCCTTGAAACTACGACAGCGATGGTAAAGCTAAGCCAGATGTTAGCCCTTGAAACTAAGTGAGCGATGGTAAAGCTAAACCAGATGTTAGCCCTTGAAACTACGACAGCGATGTTAGCCCTTGAAACTATTCTTAACCAAAACAATAAAACGTGTTTAAAGTATATACACTGCTAAAAAAAATTAAGGGAACACTTAAACAACACATCCTAGATCTGAATGAATGAAATAATCTTATTAAATACTTTTTTCTTTACATAGTTGAATGTGCTGACAACAAAATCACACAAAAATTATCAATGGAAATCAAATTTATCAACCCATGGAGGTCTGGATTTGGAGTCACCCTCAAAATTAAAGTGGAAAACCACACTACAGGCTGATCCAACTTTGATGTAATGTCCTTAAAACACGTCAAAATGAGGCTCAGTAATGTGTGTGGCCTCCACGTGCCTGTATGACCTCCCTACAACGCCTGGGCATGCTCCTGATGAGGTGGCGGATGGTCTCCTGAGGGATCTCCTCCCAGACCTGGACTAAAGCATCCGCCAACTCCTGGACAGTCTGTGGTGCAACGTGGCGTTGGTGGATGGAGCGAGACATGATGTCCGAGATGTGGTCAATTGGATTCAGGTCTGGGGAACGGGCGGGCCAGTCCATAGCATCAATGCCTTCCTCTTGCAGGAACTGCTGACACACTCCAGCCACATGAGGTCTAGCATTGTCTTGCATTAGGAGGAACCCAGGGCCAACCGCACCAGCATATGGTCTCACAAGGGGTCTGAGGATCTCATCTCTGTACCTAATGGCAGTCAGGCTACCTCTGGCGAGCACATGGAGGGCTGTGCGGCCCCCCAAAGAAATGCCACCCCACACCATGACTGACCCACCGCCAAACCGGTCATGCTGGAGGATGTTGCAGGCAGCAGAACGTTCTCCACGGCGTCTCCAGACTCTGTCATGTCTGTCACATGTGCTCAGTGTGAACCTGCTTTCATCTGTGAAGAGCACAGGGCGCCAGTGGCGAATTTGCCAATCTTGGTGTTCTCTGGCAAATGCCAAACGTCCTGCACGGTGTTGGGCTGTAAGCACAACCCCCACCTGTGGACGTCGGGCCCTCATACCAGACACATGCACATTTGTGGCCTGCTGGATGTCATTTTGCAGGGCTCTGGCAGTGCTCCTCCTGCTCCTTCTTGCACAAAGGCGGAGGTAGCGGTCCTGCTGCTGGGTTGTTGCCCTCCTACGGCCTCCTCCACGTCTCCTGATGTATTGGCCTGTCTCCTGGTAGCGCCTCCATGCTCTGGACACTACGCTGACAGACACAGCAAACCTTCTTGCCACAGCTCGCATTGATGTGCCATCCTGGATGAGCTGCACTACCTGAGCCACTTGTGTGGGTTGTAGACTCCGTCTCATGCTACCACTAGAGTGAAAGCACCGCCAGCATTCAAAAGTGACCAAAACATCAGCCATGAAGCATAGGAACTGAGAAGTGGTCTGTGGTCACCACCTGCAGAACCACTTCTTTATTGGGGGGTGTCTTTCTAATTGCCTATAATTTCCACCTGTTGTTTATTCCATTTGCACAACAGCATGTGAAATATATTGTCAATCAGTGTTGCTTCCTAAGTGGACAGTTTGATTTCACAGAAGTGTGATTGACTTGGAGTTACATTGTGTTGTTTAAGTGTTCCCTTTATTTTTTTGAGCAGTGTATGTATATATACAGTACCAGTCAAAAGTTTGGGCACACCTACTCATTCAAGGGTTTTTCTTTATTTTTACTATTTTCTACATTGTAGAATAATATAGTGAAGACATCAAAACGATAAAATAACACATATGGAATCATGTATTAACCAAAAAAGTGTTAAACAAATCTAAATAAATGTTATATTTGAGATTCTTCAAATAGCCATTGTTTGCAACAAGGGAAATAGTTTGCGAATGTTAGCTAGCGTTAGCTAAAACATTCCATTTGTTTTGTATCAGCCGCGAACGTTCGCTAACCTTAACTAACAGTCAGACAAGGTGGTGTGCGGCGAACATGCCTGTTTCGGGTCTAAACTGAAGCTACAAAATAGTAATGTGGTCATGTCGGGTTTCTACTACATGTAGTAAGAACAGCAAAGTCATTTGCTGTTTGAATTTTGCTGCAAAAAAAAAGATATTTGCAGTTTCAACATAACGTTCTGGAATGTTCATTCAAATCGTTTAACTGGACATGTTACTCAGTAAAACAAAGAGAACCCTTGTTGAACTCATCTCCGGGTCAACCACCTATGTAGAGGAAGTGTACTTTACTTACGCTCCTCCCACAACGTCAAATGCAGCCACAACTCAAGTACAATATTTGTCTGCGTCCTAAATAGCACTTACAGGTCCTGGTCAAAAGTAGTACACTAAAAATAGGGAATAGGGTGCCATTTGGGACCCGTACTTCTAACATGGTTATCTGGACCTAGTAGAGGCAGCCCTGTTCAGACCGTATATTGTAAGAGGACTACTTACACTCCTCCCAGGACACGGATAGAGGCGGCCCTGTTCAGACCGTATGTTGTAAGAGGACTACTTACACTCCTCCCAGGACACGGATAGAGGCGGCCCTGTTCAGACCGTATGTTGTAAGAGGACTACTTACACTCCTCCCAGGACACGGATAGAGGCAGCCCTGTTCAGACCGTATGTTGTAAGAGGACTACTTACACTCCTCCCAGGACACGGATAGAGGCGGCCCTGTTCAGACTGTAGCGAGTCATCATGTTAGGGATGTCATCCTGTAGCTCTGTCCTCTTACCAGAGAACCCAGCCCTCTCAAACAGATGGGCGCGCGCAGGAGACGAGTCCTGGGAGAGAAGATAGAGAGTTAGGGGGGGGTGTCTGTGTGTGTGTGTGTGTGTGTGTGTGTATCGGTTTGTCCCAGTCTGTGTGGGTCGTCCTCAGCGTCGGGGCTAATTGTGTCAGGTTGGCCAATGAGAGAAACTAGTAGCTAGCCATTTTAGTTTGCGAGTATTTCCCCTGTGTGTTTGTCTGTCTGTGTGTGTGTGTGTGTGTGTTTGTATGCCTCTCTGTGGGTCCTCTCCGTCTCACCTGTTTGACTGAGCGCACCGAGGAGACATGGTCCACCTGGGCACACCACTTGTCGTAGCAGTTGTACTCTCCCCTCTCTGACATGTCCCACAGGTACTGGCGCCCTCTGAAGTTCTCATGCTCATAGCCCACCCATCTGAAACACACAGAGAGACAACCTCTGACCTCTGAACAGTGGAACAATGAAATGTGCATAGACTGACTGCAGAGAACTACAGGGTGGTGGAGGGCAAAGCTAGGAACAAGACACATCTAGATGTTTTTTTTTTTGATAAACACATGTTAGGAATGTCATTGTGAAAAAAACAGGATTGGCCAGATCTGAAATACTGCAATGATACTGAAAATAATTTCCTCCTCAGAGAAGAATAAACGATATTCTACTCTATTTGATTCTATTCTGTTTTGTTCTGAATTATATATTGATATTTATCAACTATATAGCTATTTCTGTTAAAGGTGATTTAATACAGAGTTTTCTATACAGAATGCGTGTCATTTTGCAGTGACCTATTAATGTCACTAGGTGGCTCCACTTCACTTACGATCCATCTCCACCTCACAGAGCCCTAACCCTAACCCACTTACACTCCATAGAGCCCTAACCCACTTACACTCCATAGAGCCCTAACCCACTTACACTCCATCTCCACAGAACCCTAACCCACTTATACTCCATCTCCACAGAACCCTAACCCACTTACACTCCATCTCCACAGAACCCTAACCCTAACCCACTTACACTCAATCTCCACAGAACCCTAACCCACCTACATTCCATCTCCACAGAGCCCTAACCCTAACCCACTTACACTCCATCTCCACAGAACCCTAACCCACTTACACTCCATCTCCACAGAACCCTAACCCACTTACACTCCATCTCCACAGAACCCTAACCCATTTACACTCAATCTCCACAGAACCCTAACCCACTTACACTCCATCTCCACAGAACCCTAACCCACTTACACTCCATCTCCACAGAACCCTAACCCACTTACACTCCATCTCCACAGAACCCTAACCCACTTACACTCCATCTCCACAGAACCCTAACCCACTTACACTCCATCTCCACAGAACCCTAACCCATTTACACTCTATCTCCACAGAACCCTAACCCACTTACACTCCATCTCCACAGAACCCTAACCCTAACCCACTTACAGTCTATCTCCACAGAACCCTAACCCACTTACGCTCCACTCTACACAGAACCCTAACCCTAACCCACTTACGCTCCACTCTACACAGAACCCTAACCCTAACCCACTTACACTCCATCTCCACAGAGCCCTAACCCTAACCCACTTACACTCCATCTCCACAGAACCCTAACCCACTTACGCTCCACTGTCCACCTGCACAGAGTTGCATCTCTCTGGGAAGTTCTTGTCGCTTAGTTTCTGGCAGTCGGCACTCAGGTCCAGACGTCTGCCGGCAAAATTACGCTGTTCGAAAAGGGTCACCTGACAACACAATAACATCATCATCATCAACAACTACCACAACAACAACCACTAAGTAAATATTAACCCCTCTTCTTTCATCTATAGTAAACTGACATGGTACATCTCTATGAAATAACTAACTTATTGACACGTTATATGGGCTTTCTCTATGAAAGAACTAACTTATTGAAATATGTAAATGTTTTTGCTCTAATTAAAAAATTCAGCTACATTATCTTGCGTGTTGGACGAGGGTATCACATTTGTGTGCTGTTTGGACCTACCCTCCCACTGGACCCGTAGAAGGCACGTTGGAGCACAGACCCCAGCTTGCTGCGGAGATAGGATGGAGGGATCTCTAATTAACACATGACCTTCAGCCATGACCTTTGACCACAACACCTTTGCCAGCTATCTCACTCAGATGCACACACGCAAGTGCACACACACACACACACACACACACACACACACACACACACACACACACACACACAAACGTATGTGCGCACATACACACCAATAATCTTGCTGCCAAATTCAGATAAGTGACAGTACGTAACTGTGACAAAACGTTTATTTGAGTTCTATAGAGCCTATGATTGTATGTCTCACATGTGACATACGCTAAAGACGGAATGGTGATCTGTGAACCTTGCCCTTTAAAGAGGGAACGGTGATCTGTGAACTTTGCCCTTTAAAGAGGGAACGGTGATCTGTGAACTTTGCCCTTTAAAGACGGTATTGGTGATCTGTGAACTTTGCCCTTTAAAGACGGTATTGGTGATCTGTGAACTTTGCCCTTTAAAGAGGGAACGGTGATCTGTGAACTTTGCACTTTCTGTACAGTAATAATGTATAATGTAACATTTAGTCTGTGTACCAAATGGCACCCTAGTCTCTATATAGTGCCCTACTAATGACCAGACCTGTATTGGCTATATGGGCTCTGGTCAAAAGTAGTGCACTAAATAGGGAATGGGGTGCCATTAGGGACGCACCCTTAAAATCAGGCCATTATGAAAAACTATAATGGATATGAAAATGTTTGGGTTTTAATCCTTTCCCTATTAACAGGAATCAGGCTAGCCATCATTCAAAATTAGATGATTTGGGTGACATTAGGGTTGGAGTCAATTCCATTTCAATTCCAGTCATTTCAGGAAGTAAACCTAATTCTAATTCCAATTCAAATTTTCCTGAGTTGTCAGGCATTGAAATGGCAATGACCCCAACCCTGATAGTGATCCTATAATCCTACAGGATTGTCTGTATGTATTTGTATGGTCCGGTTAGTGTAACAGAGCCAGAGAGACGGTGTGCAACACAAACTAGAGGACAGAGAGGAACTACGGCTGCATTTACACAGGTGGCACAATTCTGATCTTTCGCGCAATTATTGGCAAAAGAGCTGATCTGATTCGTCCAAAGACCAGTTAGTGAAAAAGAAAGGTCAGAATTGGGGTGCCTGTGTAAACGCGGCCATACGGACGGACACACAGACGGGCTTGGTGGGTGGGGGGGTTGTAGAGGGGGGTCAGGGAAATCAGAGAATCACTGCTGTGGAATATCCCCTTTTAGAACCCCACCCCCTCTTCCCCTATCTAACACCTCACCTGAACGGTACGGGCAGCACACCTGGCCCTCACCTAAACAGAACGGGCAGCACACCTGGCCCTCACCTGAACAGAACGGGCAGCACACCTGGCCCTCACCTGAACAGAACGGGCAGCACACCTGGCCCTCACCTAAACAGAACGGGCAGCACACCTGGCCCTCACCTAAACAGAACGGGCAGCACACCTGGCCCTCACCTAAACAGAACGGGCAGCACACCTGGCCCTGATCACAGCACTCTGAACATACCTGGTTTGTTGGGCTAGTCCGTAGACTTTAGTAAAGATGTTCATGTCAGCTCCAAGAGGCCAGGAGAAAGGCCTTTAAATACAGTCCAGGTCACAACCTACAGGGAATACTAGAAGGATCAAAGTCCTCCTGACCCTCTCACTCACAGACCCTGGCCGCATTCATATGCTAAACACAGGTCACACACACACACACATACACACACACACACAAACACATACACCGAAATGCAAGCATACACAGAAACACAGCTAGAAGCATATGTGCATTGTATCTGCACATGCACATGCACATGCATACACACACACACACACACACACACTCTACACAACACCCTCTTTGACCCTGCGTATGTACTAACAGAACAGGGAGTGCAGTGCCAACCGTTTTACCTCCTAACAATTCAGCGTTTTTTTAGAACAATATGCCTCCCTCCATGATAATAACTGTATTCATTCTGGATGGCTGCAGAGCTGAATGGAACGGTGCATCTGACTGCTGCTATACACTCCCAGTGGAGGCCTCTGCCATGGACGTCTACGGCTATTCACACACAGATCAATGTCTGCTACCTGACTGGTTAAATAACTCAAACCACCATCATATAACTAGAAACACATTACATAAGAGTCATGTCTCTTTTTGTTGACACTATTGGCATATAAGAGGATATCTGTTAGGTTAACATTCCTCTCTCAACTGGCTAGGATGTGATAGGCTAACTGTGCCACAGAACATTCCTCTCTCAACTGGCTAGGATGTTATAGGCTGACTGTGACACAGAACATTCCTCTCTCAACTGGCTAGGATGTGATAGGCTAACTGTGACACAGAACATTCCTCTCTCAACTGGCTAGGATGTGATAGGCTAACTGTGCCACAGAACATTCCTCTCTCAACTGGCTAGGATGTGATAGGCTAACTGTGACACAGAACATTCCTCTCTCAACTGGCCAGGATGTGATAGGCTAACTGTGACACAGAACATTCCTCTCTCAACTGGCCAGGATGTGATAGGCTAACTGTAGATAATGAAATGACAGATTCTGTTGTTAAAGTCACACAGATAATCATCGTCCTTTCATGGTTCAATTGTGATTTAATTCTTAATGTGAATGCGAAACGTTCTATGAAGTATGAATGATTGAGCTCAAAGTTTTCAGTCATTGATATTTACACTACACTTTAATCAATTATATTCATTGGGTTTAACCAGGTTTAAAAAAGGTTTGTTTGTCAGTTTATCATGTAATCCATATGAAAATAATATTTTTATACCATCATATTTCAGAGTTAAATCTAAAATAAGTTACATCTAACTTTCCTATATACACCTAGAAAAAATGGTTCCAAAAGGGTTCTTCGGCTGTCCCCATAGGAGAACCCTTTTTGGTTCCAGGTAGAACTCTTTTGGGTTCCATGTGTAAAGGGTTCTTCAAAGGGTTCTCCTATGGGGACAGCCAAAGAACCCTTTTAGGTTCTAGATAGCACCTTTTCTTCTAAGAGTGTAGAAATCAAATCCGGGTATTTCACTGAATCTAATTGTAGACATAGTCCCATTGATAGGATTCTATAGCAAAACTCTCTGAGGCTGATCTGCACGTGTGTGGATCACATACACTCGGACATTCACTTTCCGCTTACAGTGGAAAAATGCCCATTTCCAAAAGATCTGTTTGCCCCAGCAAATTACGCTCACACTCCATTGACTTTGAATGGAGGGGGGTATTTGGGTCCTGTCTGCTCGCCCCCCAAATGGGGCCCCTGAATAGAGGTGAAACTTACTGGATGTTTCGCGGCGCGCTTTTGTGACATCGGGTGCTGTAAACCTCTGTCCCTGAGGATTTGTGAGAATGAATTAGGTCCAGAAACTTGGGGACCTTTCTTGCATTTTGGAGTTGTTTCCAGCAGGGACAAATGCAGGCCGTTGAACAGGTAGGCATGTAGCTATGTGTGGTTCTGGGGAGAGCTAGAGGACTGGTGAGGAAAGACAGAGAGACAGGGAGAGAGATAGCTAGCTAGATACACTGTAGGTAGGCTGCGGCAAGGGGCATTTTGTTGTCTACATTCTTAAACATTTTTTGCTCACTTTTCTAAATTAGACACTGAAGGATTTTCATGATCAGTTACTAGACCTCGGTACCTCTGCCGGGAACGGGATCAGTTTGACATGTCACTGATACTGACTGTGTTGGACAAGCTGACGTACTTCTTGTCTTTAATTGCGTTTTGCGTCAGTGTATCTCATGGCTGGTTGAAACGAGGCTAGATCATTCCTTTAATCTTAGTTTGGGCCTGAGAATGAAATGGTGTCAGCGTTTTCAATGGACTATTGCTTATTTCTGAGTTTAAACCATTATTTGGAGATGTTTTCCAGTGTGAGTTAATTAGGATGCTTTTATCCACAGACGTTGGATATCTAGCGCCTCTGTGTAAGTCTGTGTTGGGCGTCCATTTGATAGTAGAGCTGAAAGGGTTTTATTTGTGTGATTTCTATCAGTATTATATGAAAATATATAGTATATTGTTCGTATCAACTCAGATTGGTAGACTTGTCTTGAGACAAACTATCTGCAGTTTGAGCTCTGTATAATATTAATACAATGGTGTTAATTACACAGAAGTAATTCATCCCTGAGATGAGTGTTTAAGTATTATCTGAGATCAGTTTTCTACTCATTGGCATTAAAGTAAAAGAATAAAGGGGTAACACTTTCTATGAAGTACAGTGTTATGACACTGACTATAAGTATCCATAGTAACTCTTAAGCGTTTATAAAACATACTGTGTGATTCTTCCTTCTATGTACAGGTGTGACCGGAGACAGTGAGCCACCTGTGACAGATCAACACCATGTTACTACAGCGGATGCTGAAGCCGCAGCATGTGCTTGTGCTGGTGCTGTGTGTGTCAGCCAGCGAAGACTTTGACTGGACCAAGAGTGAACGCGGATCATTCTACTATGGCACTTTCCCAACTGGTAGGCTACTGTACAAGGAGAAATGCAGAAGTGACCGAAATCATGTTAAAAAGGTCTATAACTAACAGCAAAACATATTTATACAACTAGAAATAAGATCTGCAGAATGAGAATTACAGAAATTAAGGAGAGAGAGAGAGAGAGAGACAGAGAGAGAGAAACATGTAATTTATCTTCTCACAGGAATGAAGAGTTGTTGCTAACCTCTTGTGACGAGTACTGAGTATACGAAGAGGCAGGACGCAGACGCAGGAATTAACAAGGTCAAGGTTTACTTAACAATGACAAAGAGAAATAACAAAGATAGCGTAAACGACACGAAGCTAAACAATCACACACAACATCTTCCAGAACAGTCCAGGGCTAAATAGGGGTGGTGATGAGATGATGAGGTGCAGGTGCGCTGGAGGTGATTAGGGTGCGTTGGGTTTCCATTCCGGTGTTGCCGAGGTGGTGCGCTCAGACCGGTGGCTCAGTAGACCGGCGAATCAGAGCGCCGGAGGGGAGCCCCCCCCCCCCCCCCGGACGCGCGGCTCCAGCCTCTGGACGTTGCCGGCCAGGAGGACGACCCTGAGGACGAGGAGTGGGCCGGTCAGGGCGACGACGGTGGAAGTCCCGAATTAGGTTGGGGTCCAGAACGTCCCCAGCCGGAACCCAGCTCCTCTCCTTAGGACCATACCCCTCCCAGTCCACCAGGTAATGGAGCCGTCCCCCACGGAACCTGGAGTCCAGCAGGTCCCTCACCACATACGCCGGACTCCCGTCAGTGTCCAGGGGCGGAGGAGGCGTACCCCGGGGGACGGCATCCACCAGAGGACCAAGAACCACCGGCCTGAGGAGAGACACATGAAAAGTGGCTGAGACACAGTAGTGAGGGGGAAGGAGCAGCTGGTATGATACCTAATTTATCCGCCGGAGGACCTTAAACGGCCCCACAAACCGGGGGCTCGGTTTCTTGCAGGGCAGGCGGAGAGGGAGGTTTTTTGTGGACAGCCAGATACGATCCCCAGGCTGGAATACAGGGGCCTCACTGCGGTGGCGGTCGGCTTCCCAGCTAACAAGGAACGTAACTGAGACATTTGTAACATTCCCCTTACGTCTTCCAGAGGTACTGAATGTCATGGCCCGTTTGGGACATTATAGGCAAATTCATAACGTTTCTAATACGTATTTTAGAGGTTATAAATATCAGGTCGCTATACAGACATCATGGGAACATAAAAAAATGTCCTTGGTAGTCCATGAAAGGTTCTGAATATCATGTTATTTTGGAGATATCCTAGGAACATTTCATAACGTTACATTTAGAGCTATGGTTTGTCTTCATATAACGTTACAATCGGAATGATAGAAATACATTTTGGAACATCGTCTGTAAGTTTCACAATAACGTTATCATGACTTATGTGGGGACTAAAATAACTTTGTGGTCACGTCCTGGAACGTAATTTTGTTAGCTGGGTTGGTCCTTCTGCCGACGAATGGCCCACTGGAGATGGACATGGGCGGCGTCCCAGACCTGTCCGGCCCTGTGGAACCACTCGTCGACAGCGGTCGCATCGATCTGGCTGGGTGTCCAAGGGGCCAGGGCCGGCTGGTACCCCAGGACGCACTGGAAGGGAGTGAGCCCTGTGGAGGAGTGAACGAGGGAGTTCTGGGCATATTCTGCCCAGGGAAGAAACCTTTCCCACTCACCCTGCCGGTCCTGATAGTGGCAATGAAGAAACCTCCCCAGCTCCTGGTTCATGAGCTCCACCTGCCCATTCGACTGAGGCCTATACCCAGAAGTGAGGCTGGCCGTGGCCCGATCTTCTCCAGGAAAGCCTTCCACGCTCGGGAGGTGAATTGGGGGCCACGGTCCGAGACGATGTCCTCCGGAAGTCCATAATGCCGGAAGACCTGTTGGAACAGGACCTCAGCGACCTGGAGAGCAGAAGGAAGACCAGTTAGTGGCAAAAAACGGCATGATTTGGAGAACCAATCTACGACCACCAGGACTGTGGTGAAGCTGTCAGAACGTGGAAGGTCGGTGACAAAGTCTATGGACAGGTGTGACCAAGGTCGCTGAGGCACTGGGAGAGGAACTAGTTTGCCTGCCGGGGTGTTCGAGGTGTCTTCGTTTGGGCACATACGGAACAGGAGTTGACATAGCGGGAGACATCAGAAGCCAAGGTGGGCCACCAGTATTTTTGGGCTAGAGAATGTGCGTAATACTAGAGTGCCCTGCCGTAAGGGTAGTGTGCGCCCAGATCAGCAGGTGGTCACGGACACTGGTGGGTACATACACATGCCCCGCAGGGGCGTTGGCAGGCGCTGGGTCCTCCTGAGCCGCCAGGCGGATGTCTTCGTCCACATCCCAAATGACAGGTGCAACGATGAGAGACGAGGGCAGGATAGGACCCCCCAGATCCTTCCTTTCTCCGGTATGGTGCATCCTGGAGAGTGCGTCGGCCTTCACATTCTGGGATCCTGGGCGGTAGGACAGAATGAATTGGAAGCAAGTGAGAAATTGGGCCCACCTGGCTTGACGAGAGTTCATCCGTTTCGCTGCCCGTATGTGCTCCAAATTCCGGTGGTCAGTAAGAATCCGGAATGGATGGACTGCGCCCTCCAGCCAGTGTCTCCATTCCTCCAGAGCGAGGACCACCACCAACAGCTCCCTGTACCAACTCCATAGTTCCTCTCTGCGGGGGTAAGCTTTTTAGAGAAAAAGGCACAGGGATACATTTTCTCTGGCTTACCATGCCGCTGGGAGAGGACCGCACCCACACCCTCCTCCGATGCGTCCACCTCCAGGATGAAAGGACGAGAAGGATCTGGGTGTTTTAGGATGGGCGCTGTGTTGAACCTCTCCTTCATCCTCTTGAAGGCAGCGTCAGCCTCAGGATTCCAGGGCAGCTTCTGAGGCCCACCCTTAAGGAGAGAGGTGAGCAGGGCGGCTATGGAGCTGAAGGACCTGATTAAATGCCGGTAGAAATTAACGAAGCCTAGGAAGCTCTGTAGGCCCTTGATGGTGGTGGGAACTGGCCATGAGCTGATGGCGTCCGTCTTCACTCCTTCCATGAACACCCCCTGAGGACTGATCCGGTATCCCAGGAAGGAGATGGCCTGTTGGTGGAATTTCTCCCCCTTCACCAACAGGCTGTGTTCCTGGAGGCGGAGTAGGATAGCTCGAACGTCCCTGACGTGCTCCTCGAATGTAGCCGAGTAGATCAGGATATCGTCGATGTACACCACCACCTGTCTACTCAGCATGTCCCGGAACACGTCATTGACGAAGGACTGGAACACAAAAGGTGTGTTGGCTAGGCCGTAGGGCATGACGCGGTATTCATAGTGGCCTGAGGTAGTGCTGAATGCCGTCTTCCACTCGTCTCCTTCCCGGATTCGGATCAGGTTGTAGGCACTCCTCAGGTCCAACTTGGTAAAGTACCGGGCCCCTCGTAGCTGCTCGATGGCCAACGGAACCAGATTGGAGGGGGTACCGGTACTTGGTGGTGACTGCGTTCAGCCCCCTGTAGTCAATGCATGGTCTCAGTCCTCCGAGGTAGAGCGTCTGATGAACCTCTGTTTCAGGGTCTCCGCCACATACTTCTCCATGGCCTCAGTCTCCGCCATGGAAAGGGGGTAAATGCGACTCTTTGGGGGGTGTTGTCCCTCCAGCAGGTCAATGGTGCAGTCCCAGGGCCTGTGAGGAGGGAGACACCTAGCCTTTAATGAAGAGAAGACATCAGAGAGATCTGCGTACTCATGTGGAATGTTGGGCTGGAGGGCGGACTCCGGACTCTCCACAGACGTGGAACAACAAACCACCGACAAGCAGGTCTTCCGGCATGAGGTGGACCAGGCTGTGATCCTCTTGGTGCTCCAATTGATGGTGGGGTTGTGTAGTCTGAGCCAGGGCAATCCCAAGACGATCCGGTGAAGGGGTGACGTGACGATGTGGAATGACAGCTCCTCGTGGTGCTCCGGTAGTGTGGGAATGGTGATGGTGATGGGGAGAGTGACGTGCGTAATGGTGCCTGATCCAAGGGGTTTATTGTCCAGTGATGTGACGTGTAGAGGAGATAGCAGTGGCACGGTGGGCAACCCCCATTCAGAGACCAGCTCCCTATCTATAAGGTTCTCCGCTGATCCGGAATCTATCATAGCAGTAGAAGTGGAAGAGAAGGAATAACCAGTCACCGTTATGGGAACTAAAAACAATTTTGTGATAGGAGCTGACGTAACACTCACGGAGCGGCGACGGGAGTCATACCGCCTAGATAGGGAGCCGGCAGGAGATCTGTGGTCCGTGGTGGTGTAGGGGGTGCTGCCCACCTCCATGGGTGATGACTCAGAAGCAGGGCGGCTTCCATAGCTCAGATGGGGTGAGCGACGAGGCTCTGGGAGGTGTTGGGAACGCCATCTCTCTCTCAACATGTCGTCTAGACGGATGGCCGTGGTGATGAGGGTATCAAGGTCCATCTCGTCGTCCCGACATGCGAGTTCCATCTTGATGTCCTCCCGTAAGCCTCTCCTGAAGGCCGTGCGCAGAGCACGCTCATTCCAGCCGGAAGACGCCGCCACTGTGCGAAAGCTCAGAGCGTACTCGGACGCGGGCCCCTCTCTCTGTTGTAGATGGAGGAGACGCTCACCCCCGTCCTTTCCCTCCGTGGGATGATCAAACACTACCCTGAACCGAGCGAGGAAGGTGGGATAGGGAAGCGCCACTGCCTCCTCTCCTTCCCAAACTGCCGTGGCCCAATCCAGCGCCTTTCCTTGAAGGAGCGAAATCACCAGCGCTATCCTGGCTTGGTCAGATGTATATGCCCGAGGCTGACGCGCCAGATAAAGTGAAACCTGTAGCAGGAAGCCACTACATTTAGTAGTTTTACCGTCATAGCGCTCCGGTAGGGCGAGGGTTCCCGCAGAAATGGGTGATAGCACGGGAACAGGTGGATTTGGGGCACTCGCCGCACCCTGAGGTGGACCCGGAGCGCTGGGCAGATTTAGCAGAGTTTGGAGCACTTCCTGCATGGCGGCGTTCAACTGGGAAAGCTGCTGCTGGTGCTGGTCCAGGCACTGGGAAACTCCTGCTGCATCCATTTTCGTTTGGTGTGTGACTCTGTGACGAGTACTGAGTATACGAAGAGGCAGGACGCAGACGCAGGAATTAACAAGGTCAAGATTTACTAAACAATGATAAAGAGAAATAACAAAGATAGAGTAAACGACACAAAGCTAAACAATAACACACAACATCTTCCAGAACAGTCCAGGGCTAAATAGGGGTGGTGATGAGATGATGAGGTGCAGGTGCGCTGGAGGTTGGGTTTCCATTCCGGTGTTGCCGAGGTGGTGCACTCAGACCGGTGGCTCAGTAGACCGGCGAATCAGAGCGCCGGAGGGGAGCCACAGGAGGAGACGTGACAACTCTATATCTCTCTGAAGGGTTTTCCTGGGGGGCTGGAGGCTCTGCGTACCAGACAGCTAACCTCTCTATCTCTCTGAAGGGTTTTCCTGGGGGGCTGGGGGCTCTGCTTACCAGACAGCTAACCTCTCTATCTCTCTGAAGGGTTTTCCTGGGGGGCTGGGGGCTCTGCTTACCAGACAGCTAACCTCTATATCTCTCTGAAGGGTTTTCCTGGGGTGCTGGGGGCTCTGCGTACCAGACAGTTAACCTCTATATCTCTCTGAAGGGTTTTCCTGGGGGGCTGGGGGCTCTGCTTACCAGACAGCTACCCTCTATATCTCTCTGAAGGGTTTTCCTGGGGGGCTGGGGGCTGGGGGCTGGGGACTCTGTGTACCAGACAGCTAACCTCTATATCTCTCTGCAGGGTTTTCCTGGGGTGCTGGAGGCTCTGCGTACCAGACAGAGGGAGCCTGGGACAAGGATGGCAAGGGGATGAGCATCTGGGACGTGTTCGCCCACAAGAAGGGAAAAATCTTCCTCAACGACACCGGAGACCACTCCTGCGAAGGATACTACAAATTCAAGGTGAATAGACTGCATGGACAGTAGACAGACTATCCCTGTATAGTAAAAAGTGGTCAAAAGTAGTGCACTGCAAAGGAAATAGGGTGCCATTTGATATTTGAACCATATGGCTCCGTCTCAATTGACACTTTGACATGACATTGTCAATATCTTCTAGGATGACATCACCTTGATGAAGGACATGAAGTTTAACCACTATCGTTTCTCCATCTCCTGGCCAAGGATCTTTCCCAACGGAATCAAAAGTAAATGCTTCATACTTCATAATCCAGATTCTCCACTGAACATACTTCATAGTCCAGATTATCCACTGAACATACTTCATAGTCCAGATTCTCCACTGAACATATTTCATAGTCCAGATTCTCCACTGAACATACTTCATAGTCCAGATTCTCCACTTTGTCCAGGACAAAGCTTCATAATGTTTTTCGTGAATGTTATACGTAATGGAAATGTCTTTTTTTTCTCTCCAGCTGACCACATCAATGAGAAGGGGATAAAATACTATGATGACCTGATCAACATGCTCCTGGACAATAACATCACACCAATAGTCACCCTGTACCACTGGGATCTGCCACAGGTGGGCACTGAATGACTGGGTACTGACTGACTGATTGGGTACTGATTGACTGACTGGGTACTGATTGACTGACTGGGTACTGACTGACTGGGTACTGACTAACTGGGTAGTGACTGAATGATTGGGTACTGATTGACTGACTGGGTACTCAATGACTGGGTAGTGACTGGGTACTGACTGACTGAATGGGTACTGACTGACTGGGTACTGACTGACTGGGTAGTGACTGACTGAATGGGTACTGACTGACTGGGTACTGACTGACTGACTGGGTACTGACTGACTGACTGGGTACTGACTGACTGGGTACTGACTGACTGACTGTGTACTGACTGGGTACTGACTTGACTGGGTACTGACTGACTGACTGGGTACTGATTGACTGCCTGGGTACTGACTGACTGGGTACTGACTGATTTGGTACTGACTGACTGACTGCGTACTGACTGACTGACTGAGTACTGACTGACTGATTGAGTATTGATTAACTGGGTACTGACTGACTGGGTACTGACTGACTGATTGGGTACTGATTGACTGGGTAGTGACTGACTGGGTACTTACTGACTGGGTACTGACTGACTGGGTACTGACTGACTGGGTACTGACTTACTGATTGGGAACTGACTGACTGATTCGATACTAATTGACTGGGTACTGACTGACTGGGTACTGATTGACTGGGTACTGATTGACTGACTGGGTACTAACTAACTGGGTACTGACTGACTGACTAGGTTCTGACTGACTGGGTACTGACTGACTAGGTACTGACTGACTGAGAACTGACTGACTGTATGCTAACCAGTAGTGAATCGCTATTAGCTTGCTGAGCTAGCACATACAAAGCTACACTTCAATGCAAAACATGACACATTTTTTTAATCCATATATTTACAGAATCCAGATTTAAATAATGTTGTCAGTAATCTAACTCCATATAAATCCCAAACGTATGTGGACCCGACTGTACTGCATTTGTATCAGTGGCTTCATTGAAAGAAGAATGTGGAGGTGAAAAATCTGTCGATGTGCCCTTGAGCAAGGCACTTAACCCTAATTGCTCCTGTAAGTCGCTCTGGATAAGAGCGTCTGCTAAATGACTAAAATGTAAATGTAAATGTATGGAGGGATGTTTCCTGTTATGATGATCCCAGATGACTGGTCTACTACAACACATTCCCTATCCATGGCATGGTGTGACCTATAGTAATCTTCCTTCCCTGTTACCACCCAGGTCTGGTGTGACCTATAGTAACCTTCCTTCCCTGTTACCACCCAGGTCTTGTGTGACCTATAGTAATCTTCCTTCCCTGTGACCACCCAGGTCTTGTGTGACCTATAGTAACCTTCCTTCCCTGTTACCACCCAGGTCTTGTGTGACCTATAGTAACCTTCCTTCCCTGTTACCACCCAGGTCTTGTGTGACCTATAGTAACCTTCCTTCCCTGTTACCACCCAGGTCTTGTGTGACCTATAGTAACCTTCCTTCCCTGTTACCACCCAGGTCTTGTGTGACCTATAGTAACCTTCCTTCCCTGTTACCACCCAGGTCTTGTGTGACCTATAGTAACCTTCCTTCCCTGTTACCACCCAGGTCTTAGAGGAGAAGTATGGTGGATGGCAGAACGTCAGCATGGTGAACTATTTCAACGACTTTGCCAACTTATGCTTTGAGAGGTTTGGTGACAGAGTCAAATACTGGATGACCTTCAACAACCCATGGGTAAGACAATACATTATCCATAACACATGATCCGTAATACATGATCCATAATACATTATCTGATGGACACACATGCTGTGTTCCAAATGGCACCCTATTCCCTATATAGTGCACTAATGTTTAACAGGGCCCATAGGACTCTGATCAAAAGTAGTGCACTATATAGGGAATAGGGTGCCACTTGGGAGACACACAGTATATGAACCATCCTCCTCCAGAAGAGTACTGCAGGTTAGCTTAACCATGAACCAGAGCCAAATACATGTATCAAATACTTTCAAATAGGCTAAAGTATTTTAAAGTATTTGACACAATGTATTTTGACTCAGGACTTCCATAAACATTATATTTGATAAGTCTTAGTGTACAGTAATGCAGTGTACTGTATCTGTGTTTGTAGTTTTGTGCTGTGGAGGGCTATGAGACTGTGTTTGTAGTTTAGTGCTGTGGAGGGCTATGAGACTGTGTTTTGTAGTTTAGTGCTGTGGAGGGCTATGAGACTGTGTTTGTAGTTTAGTGCTGTGGAGGGCTATGAGACTGTGTTTGTAGTTTAGTGCTGTGGAGGGCTATGAGACTGTGTTTGTAGTTTTGTGCTGTGGAGGGCTATGAGACTGTGTTTTGTAGTTTTGTGCTGTGGAGGGCTATGAGACTGTGTTTTGTAGTCTAGCGCTGTGGAGGGCTATGAGATTGTGTTTGTAGTTTAGTGCTGTGGAGGGCTATGAGACTGTGTTTCTAGTTTAGTGCTGTGGAGGGCTATGAGACTGTGTTTGTAGTCTAGCGCTGTGGAGGGCTATGAGACTGTGTTTGTAGTTTAGCACTGTGGAGGGCTATGAGACTGTGTTTTGTAGTCTAGCGCTGTGGAGGGCTATGAGACTGTGTTTGTAGTTTAGCACTGTGGAGGGCTATGAGACTGTGTTTTGTAGTCTAGCGCTGTGGAGGGCTATGAGACTGGAGAACATGCACCTGGACTGAAGCTGAGGGGCACTGGGGCCTACAAAGCTGCCCACCACATTATCAAGGTAATCACTAGTTGTTTATAAGATCATTATATTTCATATTGTCAGGAATCTAATTCCATTTATTGGCCTGCTGTACTGTCTGTCACCTGATACAGAATAATATATTGTCTTCTTCTTCATTTGAACAGGCACATGCTAAGGTTTGGCACACTTATGACACACAATGGCGAAGCAAACAGAAAGGCTTGGTTGGGATCTCGTTGTTGGCAGACTGGGGGGAGCCAGTGGACATCACCAACCAGAGAGACATCGAGGCAGCAGAGAGATATGTCCAGTTCTACATGGGCTGGTTCGCTACACCCATCTTCAATGGGGACTACCCTCAGGTCATGAAAGACTACATAGGCAAGTAATGTATTGTCACAGCTTGGTGTTCCATTTCCAGGAACAACCCACAGCGTTTAAATGAAGCTAGCCTGCAAGCCTGAGGCTAGTACTGTTCAGACCAGGCTAGTAGAAAATGTACCCAACTAGCCTGCTAGCCTGAGGCTAGCACTGTTCAGACCAGGCTAGTAGAAAATCTACCCAACTAGCTCGCTAACCTGAGGCTAGTAGTGTTCAGACCAGGCTAGTAGAAAATGTACCCAACTAGCCTGCTAGCCTGAGGCTAGTACTGTTCAGACCAGGCTAGTAGAAAATGTACCCAACTAGCCTGCTAGCCTGAGGCTAGTACTGTTCAGACCAGGCTAGTAGAAAATGTACCCAACTAGCCTGCTAGCCTGAGGCTAGTACTGTTCAGACCAGGCTAGTAGAAAATCTACCCAACTAGCCCGCCGGCTGTCTTTTGAAATATCGAATGGCACAGATTATAGACCCGGGATAGTAAAAATGGTGGTCTACACTCTGAAAGGGTTCTTCAGCTGTCCCCATAGGAAAACCCTTTTTGGTTCCATGTAGAACCCTCTGTGGAAAGGGTTTTACATGGAACCCAAAAGGGTTCTTCAAAGGGTTCTCATTTTACATTTACATTTTAGTCATTTAGCAGACGCTCTTATCCAGAGCGACCTACAGTTAGTGAATACATTTTTTTTTTAATACTGGCCCCCCGTGGGAATCAAACCCACAACCCTGGCGTTGCAAACGCCATGCTCTATCAACTGAGCTACATCCCTGCCGGCCATTCCCTCCCCTACCCTGGACCAATTGTGCGCCGCCCATGAGTCTCCCGGTCGCGGCCGGCGGCGACAGAGCCTGGATTCGAAACAGGATCTCTAGTGGCACAGTTAGCACTGCGATGCAGTGCCTTAGACCACTGCGCCACTCAGGAGTTCTCCTATGGGGACAGCCGAAGAACCATTTTAGGTTCTAGATAGCACCTTTTTTTTACTGAGTGTACTTGCCCGTGCCCAAAATCATTAAGTTCCATCCCTGCTTATATGTAACAGGACATAGAAACATATATGTGTCACTGTCACACCTGCTGCCTCTCTCTCCACAGACAAGACGAGTGCCCAGCAGGGTCTGGGAATCTCCCGTCTCCCTGTCTTCTCCTCCCAATGTTAGGGTTAAGGGTTCGAGGTCATAGTGTAAGCTGGTCTCTCTCTCTCTCTGGTCTCCAGGTAGGAAGAGTGCCCAGCAGGGTCTGGGAATCTCCCGTCTCCCAGTCTTCTCTTCCCAGGAGAAGAGTTACATCAAGGGCACCTGTGACTTCCTGGGTATTGGCCACTTCACCACGCGCTATATCACCCAGAAGAACTACCCGTCTGGCCGCGGGAACAGCTACTTCACCGACCGCGACCTGGTCGAGCTGGTGGACCCTCGCTGGCCCGACCCCGGCTCTGAGTGGCTCTACTCTGTCCCCTGGGGATTCAGACGCCTGCTCAACTTCGTCAAGGTATAACACACATGACTGTCCTACCAGCCAGACTTGGGTTAAATACATTATGTATTTGGTCAAATACTGTATGTTAACAACTTTCAACTACTTCCAGGTGGGTTTGGAGGTGTTCTTGATTCAGTGTGAAGTTTGCACTTTATTTGACTTATGCTCCCTGTCTCCCTGTCTACTCCCCACCCTGTCTCCCTGTCTCCTCCCCACCCTGTCTCCTCCCCACCCTCTCCTCCCCACCCTGTCTTCCCCCCTGTCCTCCCACCCTCTCCTCCCACCTGTCTCCTCCCCACCTCCCCTGTCTCCTCCCACCCTGTCTCCCCTGTCTCCTCTCCTCCCCACCCTGTCTCCCTGTTCCTCCACCCTGTCTCCTCCCCACCCTCTCCTCCCACCTGTCTCCTTCCCCACCCTGTCTCCTCCCCCCCTGTTCCCATCCTCCACACCCTGTCTCCTCCCCACCCTGTCTCCTCCCACCCTGTCTCGTCTCCTCCCCCACCCTGTCTCCTCCCCACCCTGTCTCCCTGTCTCCTCCCCACCCTGTCTCCCTGTCTCCTCCCCACCCTGTCATCCCCCCCTCCCCCCACCCTGTTCTCCCCACCCTGTCACCTCCCACCCTGTCTCCTCCGTCTCCCACCTGTCTCCCTCTCCCACCCTGTCTCCTCCCCTGCTCCTTGTCACCCTGTCTCCCTGTCACCGCCTCCACACCCTGTCTCCCTGTTCACCCCTGTCTCCCTGTCTCCTCCCCTCCCTACCGTCACCCTTCCCCTGTCTCCTCCCCCCCTCCTCCTGTCCCCACCCTGTCTCCCTGTCTCCTCCCCTCCCTGTCACCCTGTCTCCCTGTCTCCTCCCCACCCTGCCTCCCTGTCACCCTGTCTCCCTGTCTCCTCCCCTCCCTGTCACCCTGTCTCCCTGTCTCCTCCCCACCCTGTCTCCCTGTCTCCCTGTCTCCTCCCCACCCTGTCTCCTCCCCACCCTGTCTCCCTGTCTCCCTGTCTCCTCCCTCCCTGTCACCCTGTCTCCCTGTCTCCTCCCCTCCCTGTCTTCCTGTCTCCCTGTCTCCTCCCCACCCTGTCACCCTGTCTCCCTGTCACCTCCACACCCTGTCTCCCTGTCACCCTGTCTTCCTGTCTCCCTGTCTCCTCCCCACCCTGTCTCCCTGTCTCCCTGTCTCCTCCCCACCCTGTCACCCTGTCTCCCTGTCTCCTCCCCACCCTGTCTCTCTACTAGACCCAGTATGGGAACCCCATGATCTACGTGACAGAGAACGGGGTGTCAGAGAAGGTGCAGAGGTGCACAGACCTGTGTGATGATTGGAGGATGCAGTACTTCAAGGATTACATCAATGAGATGCTGAAGGGTGAGGAACCTATCTATCAGAGGAAATAACATCCTCTTAATATTACCTTGAAGAAAGGTTTAGTACACTGTAGAGAAAATAATAGAAGATTATAGAGGTTTAGTAAAACGTGAATTACTTGTTATGAATAAAAACAATTTTAGTGAACTGGTATCATTTTAGGACAAAACAGGTGTTTTGAGTGTGTTTGAAGTTTCACTGTGTACTCAGTAGCCCCGTGTAGCTCAGTTGGTAGAGCATGCCAGGGTTGTGGGTTCGATTCCCACGGGGGGCCAGTATGAAAAAAAATAATGTATGCACTCACTAACTGTAAGTCGCTCTGGATAAGAGCGTCTGCTAAATGACTAAAGTATAAAAAAAATGTAAAAAATGTACTCTATTGATACTGGGCAAATTAATTCCTATAGCACCCTCTGTTGGTCTTTTCTCCACATGACAGCCGTTAAGGACGGAGTGAATGTGAAGGGCTACACAGCCTGGTCGCTGCTGGACAAGTTTGAGTGGGACGAAGGCTTCTCTGAGAGGTTTGGCCTGTTCTACGTGGACTTCCTCAACAAGAATAAACCACGTTACCCAAAAGCCTCTGTTCAGTACTACAAACGCATCATCAGCTCCAATGGATTCCCCAACCAGAGAGAGGTACAGTCTGTCAGTCACAGACGCCTGTACACACCTGATACAGGCCTATTCTATTTGGTTCAGAACCGTTGAAGTTTTCTTCAAAGTTTTCCTCTGTGCTGTTTTGTGACAGACCTTTTTTTTACAGGCTGTATTAATACATATTGATTGATTGGTTGGTTGATTGATTGGTTAGTTGGTTAATTTATTTTTATGGTCTCTCTACAGGTGGAGAGCTGGAAAAGGAAAGCCACAGAGACATGCTCCTCCAGTAACCAGCTGCTAGCTGCAGGTCAGTACAGTACAGTAGACTACACTACAACCCAACACCGCCAGAACCCAACACCGCCAGACCCCAACACCTCCAGAACCCAACACCGCCAGAATCCAACACCGCCAGAATCCAACACCGCCAGAACCCAACACCGCCAGAATCCAACACCGCCAGAATCCAACACTGCCAGAATCCAACACCAGACCCACACGCCACACCCCAACACAGCCAAACCCCAACACCGCCAGACTCCAACACCGCCAGACCCCAACACCTCCAGAACCCAACACCGCCAGAATCCAACACCGCCAGAATCCAACACCGCCACAACCCAACACCGCCAGACCCCAACACCACCAACCCAACACCACTAGACCCCAACACCCCAGACCCCAACACCACCAACCCCAACACACCAGACCCAACACCACTAGACCCCAACACCACCCAGACCCCAACACCACTAGACCCCAACACCACCAACCCCAACACCCACCGGACCCCAACACCACCAGACCCCAACACCACCAGACCCCAACACCACCAGACCCCAACCACCACCAGACCCAACACCACTAGACCCCAACACCACCAGACCCCAACACCACTAGATCCCAACACCACTAGACCCCAACACCCCCAGACCCCAACACCACTAGACCCCACCGCCAGACCCCAACACCACCAGATCCAACACCACTAGACCCCAACACCACCGGACCCCAACACCACCAGACCCCAACACCACCAGACCCAACACCACTAGACCCCAACACCACCAGACCCCAACACCACTAGATCCCAACACCACTAGACCCCAACACCCCCAGACCCCAACACCACTAGACCCCAACACCGCCAGATCCCCAACACCACCAGATCCAACACCACTAGACCCCAACACCACCAGACCCCAACACCACCAGACCCCAACACCACCAGAACCCAACACCCCCAGACCCCAACACCCCAACACCACTAGACCCCAACACCACCAGACCCCAACACCACCAGAACCCAACACCCCCAGACCCCAACACCCCAACACCACTAGACCCCAACACCACCAGACCTCAACATAGCCAGACCCCAACACCACCAGACCCCAACATAGCCAGACCCCAACACCACCAGACCCCAACACCACCAGACCCCAACATAGCCAGACCCCAACACCGCCAGACCCCAACACCACCAGACCCAACACCACCAGCACCCAACACCATCAGGCCCCTGGGTCAGTACAGTACAGTAGGCTACACCCCAACACCATCGGACCCCTGGCTAAAATACATTATGGCAAAGACTTTCCAATACTTGAGCTGCGATTGACTTGATTTTGTAAGCCCCAGTACAACGGACTCAATAGAATAGTCCCAAAAACGGGAACTCCAGCCTAAATCAAGCACATACTTTCAACTTGAAATGTTTAACTATTTGAAAGTATTTTACATAATGTATGTCACTCAGCTCCAACAACTCCAGCATGCAGGGACATTGGGCTGAATCTGGCTGCCAGGGCAAACAAAGGAACATTCTGACTCTAATTGGCACTTTTCAACAAATAGTTGAACTACAAATAGTTGAACTACAAATAGTTGAACTACTACAAAAGTACATGGGAAGACATTCTCTAACAGGACTTTTCTTTGTTTGCCCCTCCAGCTAGAAGAAAGTCCCAGCAGGACAATAAGGAACAGGAAGGGATGCCAAAGGTTTGGCCAGTGCATGATGAAGTTTAGGTAGGCCTACTTAGGACTCAATTAGTTATTATTTTTGATTGACTGACTGGTGTGTAGCAGACCTGGATGTGAAATACATTCACCAAATAATTTGCAAATCATTTAAAGTGTTGAATTTTGAGGTGTGGTTGATTTTAGCATGGGGTTTGCACTTAGTGGACTATTCGCTATTTGCTGCTGAGTAAATGTCAGCTAGTAGTGCAGAGTGGTGTAGTCATCTATGTGTTATTATAAACATGTATTTAGCCACTTTGCCTTCTGTTTGCCCTTTAGGGTGTAGGCCGGGTTACTGTTAGGGCTTTATAAATACATTTAATGGATTTATTGTGTTCAAATGATTATTCCAGATCCGTTGACGAGCCACATGGAGATGGTAACAGAGATCGTGGTTCCTACAGTGTGTACTCTCTGTATTCTCCTGGCTGCGGTCTTCCTCATGTTCCTGCTGCGTGGACGCTTCTAGAAACACTGCTGTCTTCCTCATGTTCCTGCTGCGTTGGACGCTTCTAGAACACTGCTGTCTTCCTCATGTTCCTGCTGCGTTGGACGCTTCTAGAACACTGCTGTCTTCCTCATGTTCCTGCTGCGTTGGACGCTTCTAGAACACTGCTGTCTTCCTCATGTTCCTGCTGCGTGGACGCTTCTAGAACACCGCTGTCTTCCTCATGTTCCTGCTGCGTGGACGCTTCTAGAACACTGCTGTCTTCCTCATGTTCCTGCTGCGTTGGACGCTTCTAGAACACTGCTGTCTTCCTCATGTTCCTGCTGTGTGGACAATGATAGCGGTATTTTTTATAACACACAGTTCATCTATTTTATATACATTTTGCAACAGATACAAACCTGGACACCGGACACATTTTAAAATGGAACCATAGCTACTCCATGTCAATAGAGTGTTAATATACATTATTATCTGTATCTTGAAAATCTAATTAAATTGCAATAAATATTCTACAACCTGTTTGGAAACTGTTTGACTCCTTATAGGCTGCAGGTGTTGTAGAGAGAATTCAGGAGAAGATGAGGCTTCAGAACCTTATATAATAGTCTATACAGTATCTACAATATAGTGCATTTAGTCAAATATAGTCATATTTTCTATATGAAAGATGGGAGATGAAGACATCAAAGAGAATTTCAATGAGCAGAGTTAAACATGACCCTCTAAATCTGGACTTATTGATAGTCAATTCAAATCAAGTCAAATTTTATTTGTCACATGCGCCTAATACAACAGGGGTAGACTTTACCGTGAAATGCTTACTGACGAGCCCTTTCCCAACGATGCAGAGAAACAATCTAAATAATAACACGAGAGGAATAAAAATACAGAAGAATGAAGCTTTATGAAGCTCTACACTGGGAGAGAATGACAATAATGAGGGAATATTATCAATGATGTCTCCCGAGTGGCGCAGTGGTCTAAGGCACTGCATCGCAGTGCTAGCTGTGCCACTAGAGATCCTGGTTTGAATCCAGGCTCTGTCGTAGCCGGCCGCGACCGGGAGACCCATGGGGCGGCGCACAATTGGCCCAGCGTCGTCTAGGGTAGGGGAGGGAATGGCCGGCAGGGGATGTAGCTCAGTTGGTAGAGCATGGCATTTGCAACGGCAGGGTTGTGGGTTCGATTCCCACAGGGGGGTATAAAAAAAAAAAACTATAATGTATGCACTCACTAACTGTAAGTCGCTCTGGATAAGAGCGTCTGCTAAATGACGTAAATGTGAGAGGATTCATTAAAAACATTTATTATTGGGAAGTGTGATGAATGTGGCTCTGTGAGGTGTGTAGTTTTGTTTGAAACCTTTAGACTTTAACTCAGCAGGATAACCTAGTCTTGCAGCGTAGGACACCCAGGGTTTGGCCCAGTCGGTCATAAGTGCAAAAATAATATTTAAAATAATATAGGGGAGGGAATGGCCGGCAGGGATGTAGCTCAGTTGATAGAGCATGGCGTTTGCAACGCCAGGGTTGTGGGTTCGATTCCCACGGGTGGCCAGTATAAAAAAATATGTATTCACTAACTGTAAGTCGCTCTGGATAAGAGCGTCTGCTAAATGACTAAAATGTAAATGTAATAATATAATTTATGATACCGCAAGTACCTTTGTATGTGTAACCTGTAAACTGACAATCTATAGCTCTGAATGAGTCTGCCAACATAACATTTATGAGGGGACAAAGTCTCAAAACCCTGGTTTCATAGGAAAACATTCATAGCGAAAGTTAGAAAAGAACGAGGCACGGAAAGCAAGAGCAAGTGGCACAAGTCTGTTGGGTAGAATTGGTAGGCTTCTCTCAGGTATGTATGTGATCAATGATTTGACATTTACAGTTACCGTAACTGTAGGCTGTTTCATGAGCCTCGTCCATTCTGGTTCAATGAAAAGTTGACCTCTTTAGCGTTTTAACTGCAGATCGATTTGCTTATCTAGAAGTTATTAATAGGTGTGTCTGTATCATGTCCTGTATCTTAGTAATGTTATAGTTTATAATAGGTGTTTCTGTATCATGTCTCTTAGTAATGTTATAGTTTATAATAGGTGTGTCTGTATCATGTCCTGTCTCTTAGTAATGTTATAGTTTATAATAGGTGTTTCTGTATCATGTCTCTTAGTAATGTTATAGTTTATAATAGGTGTTTCTGTATCATGTCTCTTAGTAATGTTATAGTTTATAATAGGTGTTTCTGTATCATGTCTCTTAGTAATGTTATAGTTTATAATAGGTGTTTCTGTATCATGTCTCTTAGTAATGTTATAGTTTATAATAGGTGTGTCTGTATCATGTCCTGTCTCTTAGTAATGTTATAGTTTATAATAGGTGTTTCTGTATCATGTCTCTTAGTAATGTTATAGTTTATAATAGGTGTTTCCGTATCATGTCTCTTAGTAATGTTATAGTTTATAATAGGTGTTTCTGTATCATGTCTCTTAGTAATGTTATAGTTTATAATAGGTGTGTCTGTATCATGTCTCTTAGTAATGTTATAGTTTATAATAGGTGTGTCTGTATCATGTCCTGTCTCTTAGTAATGTTATAGTTTATAATAGGTGTTTCTGTATCATGTCCTCTTAGTAATGTTATAGTTTATAATAGGTGTGTCTGTATCATGTCCTGTCTCTTAGTAATGTTATAGTTTATAATAGGTGTGTCTGTATCATGTCTCTTAGTAATGTTATAGTTTATAATAGGTGTGTCTGTATCATGTCTCTTAGTAATGTTATAGTTTATAATAGGTGTGTCTGTATCATGTCTCTTAGTAATGTTATAGTTTATAATAGGTGTGTCTGTATCATGTCCTGTCTCTTAGTAATGTTATAGTTTATAATAGGTGTTTTCTGTATCATGTCTCTTAGTAATGTTATAGTTTATAATAGGTGTGTCTGTATCATGTCCTGTCTCTTAGTAATGTTATAGTTTATAATAGGTGTGTCTGTATCATGTCTCTTAGTAATGTTATAGTTTATAATAGGTGTGTCTGTATCATGTCTCTTAGTAATGTTATAGTTTATAATAGGTGTGTCTGTATCATGTCCTGTCTCTTAGTAATGTTATAGTTTATAATAGGTGTTTCTGTATCATGTCTCTTAGTAATGTTATAGTTTATAATAGGTGTGTCTGTATCATGTCCTGTCTCTTAGTAATGTTATAGTTTATAATAGGTGTGTCTGTATCATGTCTCTTAGTAATGTTATAGTTTATAATAGGTGTTTCTGTATCATGTCTCTTAGTAATGTTATAGTTTATAATAGGTGTTTCTGTATCATGTCTCTTAGTAATGTTATAGTTTTATAATAGGTGTGTCTGTATCATGTCCTGTCTCTTAGTAATGTTATAGTTTATAATAGGTGTTTCTGTATCATGTCTCTTAGTAATGTTATAGTTTATAATAGGTGTTTCTGTATCATGTCTCTTAGTATGTTATAGTTTATAATAGGTGTTTCTGTATCATGTCTCTTAGTAATGTTATAGTTTATAATAGGTGTGTCTGTATCATGTCTCTTAGTAATGTTATAGTTTATAATAGGTGTTTCTGTATCATGTCTCTTTGTAATGTATAGTTTATAATAGGTGTGTCTGTATCATGTCCTGTCTCTTAGTAATGTTATAGTTATAATAGGTGTTTCTGTATCATGTCTCTTAGTAATGTTATAGTTTATAATAGGTGTGTCTGTATCATGTCCTGTCTCTTAGTAATGTTATAGTTTATAATAGGTGTGTCTGTATCATGTCTCTTAGTAATGTTATAGTTTATAATAGGTGTGTCTGTATCATGTCTCTTAGTAATGTTATAGTTTATAATAGGTGTGTCTGTATCATGTCCTGTCTCTTAGTAATGTTATAGTTTATAATAGGTGTTTCTGTATCATGTCTCTTAGTAATGTTATAGTTTATAATAGGTGTTTCTGTATCATGTCTTTGTAATGTTATAGTTATAATAGGTGTGTCTGTATCATGTCTCTTAGTAATGTTATAGTTTATAATAGGTGTGTCTGTATCATGTCTCTTAGTAATGTTATAGTTTATAATAGGTGTTTCTGTATCATGTCTCTTAGTAATGTTATAGTTTATAATAGGTGTTTCTGTATCATGTATCTTAGTAATGTTATAGTTTATAATAGGTGTGTCTGTATCATGTCTCTTAGTAATGTTATAGTTTATAATAGGTGTTTCTGTATCATGTCTCTTAGTAATGTTATAGTTTATAATAGGTGTGTCTGTATCATGTCTCTTAGTAATGTTATAGTTTATAATAGGTGTTTCTGTATCATGTATCTTAGTAATGTTATAGTTTATAATAGGTGTGTCTGTATCATGTCTCTTAGTAATGTTATAGTTTATAATAGGTGTGTCTGTATCATGTCTCTTAGTAATGTTATAGTTTATAATAGGTGTTTCCGTATCATGTCTCTTAGTAATGTTATAGTTTATAATAGGTGTGTCTGTATCATGTCTCTTAGTAATGTTATAGTTTATAATAGGTGTTCTGTATCATGTCTCTTAGTAATGTTATAGTTTATAATAGGTGTTTCTGTATCATGTCTCTTAGTAATGTTATATTTAATAGGTTTCCGTATATGTCTTATAATTATAGTTATAGGTGTGTCTGTATCATGTCTCTTAGTAATGTCATAGTTTATAATAGGTGTTTCCGTATCATGTCTCTTAGTAATGTTATAGTTTATAATAGGTGTTTCTGTATCATGTCTCTTAGTAATGTTATAGTTTATAATAGGTGTTTCTGTATCATGTCTCTTAGTAATGTTATAGTTTATAATAGGTGTGTCTGTATCATGTCTCTTAGTAATGTTATAGTTTATAATAGGTGTTTCTGTATCATGTCTCTTAGTAATGTTATAGTTTATAATAGGTGTTTCTGTATCATGTATCTTAGTAATGTTATAGTTTATAATAGGCGTGTCTGTATCATGTCTCTTAGTAATGTTATAGTTTATA